TATCTTGTGAACAAAGTTGTGCACATCCTTGACAGCATATTCCTAACTATTTTCATTATGATAAACATACCCACCCTCTTTTTACAGAAACAATAAATATCCCAAAAATCTAGCCGAGCGTGTGAGGTACGTTTCACATTAGGCAGGAATGAGGGATGTTCAGACTCGGTTGATCATCACACTCTTCTCCTAACTGCTGCACCACACTTGTTGGGGCTGCTTGCACAGTCCTGGTTGTTTGTTTTACTTATAACATGAGTGATGTTTTCCTCTGTGGCCACCCCGACTTACAGTCATATGAGCCTGCAGAGTCTAAATAATCTGATTACTGCACTGTATATGGTCAGGAGTTTCTATGTTGGGTAAACACTCCCCTGTCTAACAGAACCCAGATCCCTGTCTCGCGGTGGTGCATTGTATTTGAATTTAGTTGCTGTCTAATCACGACAAACAAGAGTGATTCATTCGTTGGCAAGGTCAAGCACTTTTTCTAGAAGCTTTAGGGCAGCATGTTTTTTAAAAGTATTCTTTTCACACAGATAACATGTTCTGTTTTCATATTTGAGGATGATACAAATGTATTCACCCTAATGTGTCTATGATGTGGTTTCAGTTTTTATTGTCTTGCTGAATAGTTTCACAGATGATTTGTTGCTAAATTCAAGACAAGTTGGTTAATGACCTCATAAAGTTAACAGGATAATGGCGGAAAGATATTTGTTTTTTGGAATGGGCCTGTCTCATTTACCCAAAGAATATTTAGATCTTTAGAATTTAAGTCATCCACGAGGTCAATGTTTACCAAAGTCCCTGATCCTTCTTTGTCTCAAGCGGGGGCTTTCTTTGAGACTTTCTATAGCTAAGAATAGCCTCATAGTACTTGTGATGTCAGCAAGATTCAACTAAAGTTAAGCAGCTGAACTTTGTACAGCAGTCCATACAAATATGAGCTGATACTCACAAAAATATAATCTACACAGCGAGAATTCAGCAACAAATCCAAAGGTAATTGTAAAAGAAAAGTTAATATTGTAATCTATTAACAACAACAACATAATAATACAAAACATTATTGAAAACTGTAGCTTTAAATCTGTCGGAGGGTAACTTTTTATGCTCGTACATGCTGGTCAGTGTTCTGTGTATTATGATAACTTGTTTTACTCTGTGAAGGAGAATCCAAACTTAGTTTGACTCGGGGCAGATATGCTGACCAGGCTTTGCACTTTCACAGCTGTGACCCTTTTTGTGACCGTCATGAGACTATTTTTTGGGGGGCTTCTTCCACTGCCTGTAAGTTGTCACATCCATCCATTTTCTCTACCCGTTAAATCTATTTTAGGGCAGCGGGGAGTCTGGAGCCTATCCCAGCTGCTATTGGATCAGAGGTTGCGAACATCCTGAATAGGTTTCCCGTCCATCACAGGGCCACACAGAGTTAACGAGACACACAACAATGCTACACACACTCACTCTTATTGGTAATGTAGAGATACCAATTAACAAACATGCCTATTTATTGATGAGGAAGTCAACATACACAAAGAAAACCTGTGGAAAAATAGGGTGAACAAACAAACAGAATGTTCCCAGGAACCACCTTCCTGGCCATTATTAGGCTAACACGAAAACCTTATTTTTAGTTTTTATACATATTACTATTCCTTGTCATATACAAATACAGTACTTCTGGAATACCTTTTGAGAGGATTATTTTAGAAGGATTGGTGTGAGGATCCCCCATTAAAGTTTGACCAGTGAGAAATCTACATCCAGACTTCAAAAGCTGAAAAGACAAAAGAAAAAAGGTATGAAGCCTTAAAAAACAGTTTTATCAATCAAAGACGTCTGCCTTTTGGAGCTGTGACCCAAATTAGTTTTGTTTTTCTTCTGTTAGCAAGTCAACATGCTGGGGCTGTGAAGCAGTGTTTATTTTCTCTGTAGAGGAAAAGGTGGTGGAAATCAACTGCTCTGTATTTTCAAAACAGAGCCATCCTTGGAAAAAAAAGTCTGTTTATTGATTATTTGCAAGCCAGTTCTCACGGTGCATTACTTCTTGAATTGTTGGAACTGTTGCAGTTCTCCCTGATAAACAGGGGGCCTACGAGTAGAGGGTTAAGGGTTCCAGCAACTCAGCATTGTTTTACGAATTCCTTATTTATCTAAGTTTAGCCCATTGTGGGACTTTTAAGATTCCTAAAAGAAGATATTTGAAATGTGATTGGTGGTAGATTTCCTGGGGTACTCATACTAAATGGGAGCGGTTACAGAAATAATCGGCTGTGGAGACATTAAAGGAAAAGGTCTGCTTCAACTGTTTAAACAACGCATTCTTCTCAGTGTGGAGGTGCAAAGGTGCTATTTAACCTTTAGTAAAGTGTTTTATGGCATATGAGTGTGACCACTGCTGAATGTCTTTACAAGTCACCTTTGTGGACATTGGGCAACACAGTTAACGTATTGCCTCTCTGAAACTGTGGTTGCATTACAAAAGACTGAGGATATTTTATTGATACCTTCCACACAGTGCTACTCCCGGGTCATTTAAGGATGCGGGCAAAGTTTCGGCTCTCTCTTTTTATGGTGTCACAGTTGACAGGAATAAGGGCTGTGAGTCAGAGATTCATTTTCTGAAAGAGTCAACTCCAGAGATTAATGCTGGATTCTAACACATTTGGCTAATCATCCTTTGAGATTCTTCCAGTATGACTTTCTGCTGCTGTGCTTTTTTAAAGCCTCTCAAGTTACAAGCTTTGTGTTTACCATTTGTTACCACGAGATTCGGGTTCACTTAATGAGCTGTCTGCGTGATCGAATCCTGCCTCACTTGCATACTGTAGATTTGAAACTTTGTAGTTTGGCATTGTTGGAGATAAAGGAAAGACAACAATCAGAAATGTTGCCCTTTTCACTTTTGTACACAGAGCATGCATTCCCATGAACTACATACTTTATTTGTGACTAAAACCCAATGCTGGTAGAAGGGATTTAGAGACATTACGCTGGACTTTTGTCTCTAAGGAGCTTTTTTTATTGATCTTATGGTTTTTGGACGGTGCAAGAGGCTCTATGCTCAGTTTAGAGGGAGACAGACCTGTCTCATCGCCAAGCAGAGGATACTGAATGTTGTTTATGACTGAGAGACCCTGGTCCTGATGTTTTTTATTATAATAGGGATGAGACTGTGAATCATTCTGCCTTTGTGATTATCAATATGTGGTGGCTCCAAGATACAAAACTGTTTTTCAGTTTTGGGATTTGTGTGAAACCAGAAAGAGCAAAGAAGGCTCTGAAAAAAAACATGCACTATAACTGTTCTGAACTACAGCTAAAGAGACAAGAAAGATGAGACCCAGAAACTCAAATGACCTAACATGGTTGTAGACGTCATAAACCAGTTAGGCTTTAACTGCATTATAATACATGTAACCTCAAAGTCACTGAAACAGATGTCCCACCACTTTTATCACCGTCTTTGGGAAGAATGCACATTGTAATTTATGTAAGATAACAGTTTTATTTCTTAACCTTCCCAACCAGAGAATGAATGCAAATAATAAAAGAAGGAAGACTGAGCTGATCAGCTGGACAAGACCGTACACGCCAGAATCAACTTAATGGCTGGTCTTAACTTTTGCTTGTGGCTCAGTTTTAGCCTGGAGGTAGAGTGAGAGTCCACTTCATTTGAAGAATTTTAAGAGGCCATCAGGACAGAGAAACTAACAAAATGCTTTCAACATGCCACATCAAGAGCCTCATCCTCTGTGTTAAAGTTAATCTCCTTCACAATCGCATTGTAGTAAACTGACTTTTCTAATCTTGACTCCCCATGGTTCATGTCACAAATACACATTGCGCTATACCTGTCTTGACAGTTTGTTTATATTGTAGCCAGAATTGAAGGTAATACCTTGTATTTTGCACAGCCTGAGGCAGTGTTGTGAAACCTGCAATTATTTACTGAATAGAAAACTGTGTAAAAAAAAGAATGGTGCACAAGACAAAGAAAGGGTGAACCTGTAAAACAAATGCCTCTTGTCCATGCTGGCATACCCATTCACGTCAAACAATGACCTTTGTCGGAGTCTGAAACCTTTTCTGGAGTTAAATCAGTGGCTGCATTGGGCAGTAATGAAGAAAGAGGGAATCCCCTTGTCCTGAATGTGAAGAGGAGGCAGTGGTGGTATGTGGTCAGCTGGACATCTATCAAAAGCAACAGTCTCTGCAGAGCCAGAGAAAGGTTTGGGATTTATGCTTGACTGAACACTTTGCAGAGGCTGATTGTTGGAATAAAACACTTTGGTCAGCAGCAGACATCTCTGTCTAGTCTAGTTACTGTTAAAGCTAGCGTTCTGTGTAAAAGAGTGATGTAAATATATTTTAGGGAAGTTATATGATAATTTTAATGCTCTTTTAAAGGGTGTTTAATACACTTATTTTATACCACAGTTCAAATATGTGATAGTTGCAGGATTATACACAAAGAATGCAAAAATATATGAGGGCACAAGGCCATGCATGTGTTAGATAATATAGATGTGTTACTAAACTTAGGCAACAATCAAGATGGCATGTAAAAACTTTGTGGGTATGCAGGCCACTCAGTCAACAGCTGAATATGTGCCGTCTGAAACAATAGCAGCTAGAAATTGTCCACAATCATTCCATAAGTTCCAGTTTATAGGTGCAAACTATTTATTCTAAGAAGTTTTATTCTGTTTCTCCTAAAGTTCCTGATCGAAAGCTCAGATTGATTGAAATTATTACAATTTTGACAGCAAATATTTGTGTGATTGATGAAAGTTTATGTTCACAGTTGTCAAACAAACAGGACAACTCTTCCTCCTTTGGTATTTGGCAGTCTCAGAAGAATTCATGTTGAACCTTTTAAAGTTCAGACTTGTTTGACATGTCTGGTAATGCCTGAGGTAATGAGATACATACGAACTCACTACACCAGCATATACTCTCCCTCAACTCATTTAGCCGTTTAGGCAGGTTGGGCCAAGCTCAGCAAAGCTAAGGTAATCTCCAGAGGGTCTCTCTTATGGTACTTGACAAACCACCCACAGAGATGACTTCCAGTCGCATGGAATTGTGACATTTTAGTTTTAGATCACGCAGATGTTTAGGCCACAATAAAAAAAATGACAGTAGTCCCAGAATTGTATGTGACATTGTCATAACATATATTGTAGTCATTCGAGGCCTTAGAAATATGTTTTTATTAATTATTTTTACCATTTATATTTACAATTTAAGACAGCTTGAAAAGAGGGCGATGAGAGTGAAAGTGATCAGACATCTCTGAGAACTCCTCAGTGAAGAGAAGAACTTAAGTTTATTTTCTGGATGCTAAGGTTTAAGCCTGTAAATAAATGTATGCTTAGCCTTTTTAAAACCGGACATGAAAGCTTAAAAAACATAACCGGGTTAAGCTTGGTCAGAAAAATATCAGGACTTCTCAAGAAAGATAATCTTTCACAAAATTAATTGAATTGATATCAAAATAAAATAAAACTTTCTGGTTTGTCATGTTCCAGCCCTTTGCACATTGAGGTTTAAGATAAGCCCTCTTGTAAAAGATGCTATGCTAAGTTTCAGCATAACATTGTAGGATTTGTGTTCATCTGCATGTGTAAAATTATACCATGACATGCAATTTTTCTTAATTTACCCAAAATTTAGCAGTTTTTTTATACTTTGTTCTGAATAAATCAGATACATTTGTGAGATATTGAATCTGTGTATCCATGCCAGCAAGCAGTCAAAGTACACCCATTGAGGCAAAACACATGGTGAGGAACAACATTTCCCAGTTCTCTGAACTGTATTTTATGGGGTATGACCTCAGCTTTATCATGAGCTTTGAGAAATACAGTTGAACCCAAAGTTCATTGGCTGCAGCCAGACGAGAACAGCTGTGATGCATTATCATTCAAGAGCCTCCATCAAAGGTATTCTGCTCCCAATTCCATCTATTGTGACAGATGTGCACAATCAGAGAAAATGAAGGAATTCTTTCCTACTGAGGACATGTCAGGACTACAAGGGTGTTTAGATTAAGAATATTGTGTGCTCACAAATATTAGTATTGATTTTCTTCCTACATCCTTGACTATCTTCTCTTGGCCAGCGTTTCGGCCTTTTCTCCAAATGTCCAATAAAGTTTAACTTACCCTAACTGAAGTGTTAAACAGAAGGCTGACCAAAACATGCTGATTATGAACAACAGCTGGAAAGATAATCTCCCTTTTGTCTGATGTTTCATTTTTGAAGCAGGAACAAATGCCTCCGTGTCTGCCAAACTGTCCTTGTGTTAACCATTATGAGGTCTTTGAAGCTGCTGCACTTGTGTTTACCCTCAATGCTCCTCTGGCCCTGCTTCACTCATCAACCTAAACAAAAGAGGGGGCTAAAAGCAGAGCCCTTTGTAGGATAGGGATATTACTGTAAGGCTGCAGGCTAGTGAGAACTGACTGGGTGAATAGCACTCCTGCTGTGGCTGGCAGCTAAGACCAGTCTAAATCTAAAGGAAGTGTCAGCTCCCTCTTTCTTACTGCCAATTCAGCATGGAGCTGAGGACCTTTTTTATATCCAATGGCAGCATTTAATAGTTCAGCAACTATACACATCAGTATCTGTTTAGTGCTGGTTGATGTGAGAAACATTTTGCAGCTCTCTTTGTGTCATACTAAGCAGATAAAGACAGATATGGTTTTTACATTAACAAATAGTATTGCTTTTGTATGCATCTTTGATTTTCTTGGGTGAAGAATTAGCTCCAAATTCCTTTTGGTGTGATGCATATCATGTGGGAACAACAGAAATTCACATTTAACTCCTGTTGAAATAAAAAACCCTAACCCATCCTGTTGCTTTATCTAATGCAGCTAAAATGTCAATTTTGCCAGTTGTTTTGTATTGTAGATGGGTGTGTGCGGCATAGAACTAAAGGTCTTTATACAGGCATTTGTAAGTAAACCTTTATTTAATAAAGCAGAGCAGGGCCTCAAACAAAACCACAGCTAAGAAAACAATGCAGCAAATGGAAGTTGAAAACCTGAGACTATGTATACCTTTAGGGCGATAACGGCAAACAAGATGTAGGAGTGGTAATCAAATAAATCAGGAAATTAGGGCCTCATGTGAAACAAGACAGGAAGTACCCCAACAGAATAAACAATGGTAAAAGGTTGAGGTAGATGAAACAATGAAGTAACTAAGATTTAAGATGGAAATAGATGGCAAGAAGTGACAAAACAAAATGAACACAGAAAATAAATAAACCGACTTCGCTTTATTTGGCTTTAGTTTAAATTTTTACTCAGTCGGTCAAAAAAGCACAATTTGGAATGTTCAATGTTATGTTTGAACTAGATTGCCCCGTTAATCCACTCTAATCTCCTATCTCATAACAGTCCAATTCAAATTCAAAACCTTCTTTATAATTGAGATGGCTTGCCAAAAATGGATTAAAGATGTTCTCCTTTTGATCTGAATAGTTTCCATGTGTTTAGTTGGTTCTCACTAATAGCACCGCTGGTTTTAGTATCTTGTCCATGCAGGCTTTTAAAAGTTTATTCAAAGCAGACCTGCTCATACAGTAAAAGACAAGCACAATGTGCCAATTTGATACAAAGTGGTGCCAAACACTTGTGGGACTGTGCACATTAGTGACATCATTATTTCTGTCAATTCACTGTCACAACCCTGGTCAGCTTCAGTTACATCAGATCAAATGTGGTTTATGACAGCCAGACATAAAACAACATCTTGCAGCACAAAAAGAAAGTATCATCCAAAAGAATACCCATGTAAAAAAAGTTTTTCTCTTGAAATCCCAAAACTGTCAGAGATGTAAAAAAGCACAGCAAATGGGCATGTGGGCAAAGGTCTGGAAGATAGTTCAGTGAAGTAGTGCACTTGGTTCAGACATGTATTGGTTACTTGGAGTTCTTTTTTAAAGTGAGGTTTTAAATTTTTCACGTCCAAACGGACATTCACCTTCGTAATTAATTTTTGCTTTACTGTGCAATTGAATGGGTTTCACACATCTTTGACCAATTAGGAAATCTGAATTAGCACGGTAAAAAAATATTTTTTGAGATTATCTAAACAGCACGTTGCACTTTCGACATCATGTAAAAAACAAACACCAAAAGTTTGGGTAAGAAGGATCTAGCTCTGTTGGAAAAGGGGGTATTTTAAACCACTGCTTCTTTTTTATGACATATTTTCCATCAGATATTGATGATATTTATAGTAAATACTAGAAGCGGAAGTCAATATGGGCTGGAATTGTGTAATTGTGCAACAGAAGATTGTTATGGAGACTTTAATGGAACATTTTCCTTTATTTCCTTTTGGATTCCTTCGTTCTTTAATGCCTCACATATACAACCAAGAAGTGGTCAGGGTAAAAAATTGATAAGATACTGAAAATAATATTTTTTAGAAGATCAGAGTACACATGAGAATAAACAGCGTGCCCAGGCTGTATCCTGGCTTTCTATAATGCTGAAAGAGGCACAGTGGAACTTCTCTCATCGGTTTTCTCATTCTTGTTACTCATTTGCTTTGTGTTTGATGTGTTAGTCGGAGGGAGTGCTGCTTCAGTGCTTGCCAAGAGTGTAATCGTGTCTTCTAACCCGAGCACTGAACAAATAAAGAAACGGAAGTCTGAGCCTGGAACAAACAGCTGTGTCTGTGCACCTCTAACCTCCTGATTTCAAGCACTTATAGTGAATACTGTGATTAGGACATGAAATCTTAAAGGAATAATGCCTTGTATACGATGGAGTGTTTGAATTGCAGTTGGTGTATAGAAACATTTTGGTGGGAATGTGCCTTTTTGTCTGAGTTTGAATGTTTAGAAACATCATAAATGTCTCAGTGATCGGGTCAGAAACCATGCTATTAGTTTTTCACACTGCAGTTTTTACATGCAAATTTCAAACTGACTGAGAAATTGATTCACATATTTATATTGTTCTGGTTAAACTGCCAGAACATTGTAACATTTTCTATTATTTATACGATACTGAATATGAATTTAGACATCCAGTCACTGGTTTAAAAAGCACTGAATGGTTGTGAATGCTCGAAACTAAAGTCTGTATGATGTGCATTTTAAAAAAAAAGGTTACACAGGGAATAATTGTGTGATTTGTTTGAATAGGAAATTGTAATGCATTTTCAGGTGCTTTTATGTGCTGTTATTTTTATCCAGACCGAGTTGAATGAATGTAACATTTGTGCATCCTCATACTGTAGGGTTCTCTTTTTTTCTTCTATTTCCCCTTCCACTGCTAAACTATTACTGCCAATGGATCCCTGATTATTAAAATGGTTGTGCTCAATGATGAATTATATCTTAATTTTTTAATAACTTCTTGATATGTTTATTCCAATCAAAAACAGTGCGTCTTTACCTATAACTTACCCAGATTCCTCCCTTCTTGTCCAACAGAATCCACAATCACTGGACCTCTCTATCCAGAGTGCCTTGTCGGCCCTCTTCCCACCTTTTGAGGCCACAGCGCCCATTGTTCTCAGCCAGCTGTTTCGCACTATTGATGAGCGCTACCACGGGGATGCTCTGCAGTGCCTGCTGGACTTCCTCATTCCCTCCAAACATCTGCTGGAGAGCGTCCAACAGGCTGCATGTGTGAGTAGGAATGCGTTAATCTTTTCTAGTTTCTCATCTTTTGTACTGTGCACTTTTCTGCCGATTTCTTTTTAAATATGGAAGACATCCTAGAACAAACAAGTGTTAACTCAGAGGAACTGAAAGTAAGTTTAAAATGTGTCGCAACCAGCTCAACATTTGGATTAAGCAGAAGAGATTCTGCCCTTACATAGGACTTTAAAAATGTATATTGAAATTGATTATTAATTATTGTGCATCATTCAAATGTATGGATTTATTCCCCAAATTAGATATAAATCAATCAAAACTCATTGCTTTGCACTTTCACTGTACTATATTCTATCTTTTTGTATGAATACCTCTTTATGTTGTTACTACCCTTTAGTTATGATCCAATGTACATAAAAAGTGACATAACTTCTCTCCCGATGTATTAGCAACAAGAAATCATTTCATATAATTTTGTTCTGACAGTTCAAAGCGATGTAATATGTCAAAGACAAACATGTAAAAACAGAAGAACAGCAGCTTTTAAGGGCTCTTAAGCACTTAAGGTGTCTAACGTGCCTCATGTTGACAGTCATTTTAAATTTCTATATCACACTGAATGATTTTGCATTGTTAATGTTCCCAGGCTGGATACTCTGATGTGGTCTTCCGGTGTGAAGGCTGGCCTCTGTGTCTCCATGACAAAACTGTTATCCAGTTAGCCCCAGTGAATCCTTTGCTGTTGCGTCCCGGAGACTTTTATCTCCAGGTGGAACCTTTTGGGGACCAAGCAGCAAGGATTGTTCTCAAAAGTCTTCTGGAAGAGGGGTGTCGAGAAGTTGAGGAGACCCCCATCCCTGAGACGTCCTACCCCTGCATGTTCACTGAAGAGTGGTTGCTGGACATCAATGAAGGACGTCATGGGACTCCTCTGTCCCGTTGTTTGCTTTGCACAGACCAAGGAGTAATCAAGTTGCCTTGGGACAAAATCGCCAACCCTGAGTTTTTAAACAAGCCTAAGATCATGCCCACCTGTGGGCAAGCACCCCTGGAGTCGCATCAGATTTCAGCTCCCTTCCACTTTAGCTCTTCCACCCTCCCAGTGGATGCTGTGATTCCGCAAAAAGATGACAGGATGTCAGCGTCTCTGAGATCAGTGAACTCTGCCAGACTCATCAAAATGGATCATGAAAGACGAGGTCCCAGATCTGGCTCAAAGTCGTTAATCAAGCCTGTGGGTTGGGTTTCTCCTAACACCTGGGAGAGCCACAACCATCAAGAGATAGAAGGTGATTATGTAGACCTGGTGGATATCGCCAAAGGGAAAGAGTTTGTGGATAAACAGAGTGGCAGTGTAGTAAATCCACCCAATTTAGTTTTGCTCAAACCTGTCAGACCACCCCCACCGGTACCACGCAGGGATACGGATGCATGTGGACATAATCTTCACAGCGTAGGGGAAATCTGGCCACCATGTAGCCAAAGAAAGCTGGGGGAAGAGCTTACTGATCAAGACATGAAATGTAGGTACAGAGACTCTTACCTAGCAGCACTGAAAAACCCTGTCCCTTTTGAGAGGGGCAGTGTAGACCTCTTGGCTGCACTGGAGGAGGTAGGCCTATGTGAAGAGCAGGATGGAAGAACCAGAACAGCATTTGCAGCACATACAGACCACCTTAAAAACTTTTGTAACCACTGTAACAAACCTGTAGCATGCAATGAATCCTGCCAGCACAGGCGACACAGTGAGCAGACATCGGAGAACTGTGTGTGTTACCTTCCCTCTGGTTCACAATCAGAAAACCTAATGAAGGAATTCCCTATGACTTTGCAAGCAACCCCTGATCTGAGCCATAATCAGAGAAGTCAGACTGAAGACATTTCCCATCATTTAGGACATACTGATTCTGTGCATCCATTTTTGGATGTATCCTTAGAAAACTGTGCTGGTGACTTAAAACTACAGCAGAAGGGGGACGTTGTCAAATCACCTGGCAAACACAAAGTTATAGTGAGGTCTGTGTCTTCTGTGTCAGAGACTTGTACAGGGAGCCCCGTTCTCTACAAACTCAACAAGAGGAGCCTTACTGATATTTGCCCTACAACTGTCACTGGTGTAATTCAATGCCAAAAAAGCTTGCATTTGGATCAGGGCTCTGAAAAGCAGCAAAGACAGGAATATTCCAAAGAAGGTAAGTAGAAACGTGAAGTGGAATTGAATAATTTGAGCTTCTCTTTTGATTATTGCACCTCATATTTTTAGTTAATTTAGTTAAACCCAGCTGACACAACAATTTCCACATTTTTAGAACTTTATTGACACTGTTTTTCATAAGGATCTTAATATTCAAGCCTAGCACAGTGCATTAAACTCAACCTTGGCCTTGCGTGTTTGATGGAATGTGTTCCGCTGAGGGTTACACTTCATGACGGCTCTTCAGAAAGAGGGTTCAAAAGTCAAAGATCAGATTCCAGCTTGATTTTCCTCTAGGGATTCTCCCACTGCTTTCAGAGTTCTCTGGCACTATGGTCACATTCACGTCATTCCTCTTATCAAGGGAGTGAGCGGAAATAGCCTTCTGCACCCCGGTGAAAGAGTGGGTCTGAACCCACTGGGTTGAAAAGAAAAAGCCGAGCATTCCTTTAATGTAGAGAGACAGCAGAACATGCAAGGATATTTCTCTGTCCTCTTCAACTGAGTGTGTGCACACACATGCCCTCAAAGGGGCACGTTGAGATCTTGAGTGGAGACATGCTTGTCACGGACTATTAAATTGGCGGAGGGGGAGAGTACAGACAAGGTCTTGTTGGCTCTGAGGGGCAGATAATTAGAATGTCTAAATCAAAGCCATCTTTAGTAGCCAGGCTCTTGTCTTTTGTACAGAGATTGTCTCAAATGTTTTTTATATGTTGTCAAATATCTACATGTTGACAGAAAGAGCTATCAAAAGTTATGACTGAAGACCTCAATAATTGTAGTTTGTTTAAAAAGGCCAAAGGCCACTTAGTTGAATATCATGTTTTCTGTACACATGAAATCAGATAAGAATTTTTGGTATAGAACTGTGATGGTGACCTGTCCAGGCTGCTTCTCACCCAATGGCAGCTAGGATAGGCTCCAGAGCCCATGCAACCCTACAAGGAATAAACTGTATAAAAAATGGGTGGATGGATGAATGGATTACTCATGTTGTCTTTAAACAAGACCCTTAATTATTATAAAAATATATTTGAAAAATGCAATACTATGTTTTTAAGGCTGTTTAGCTTATGATTAATTGTTTTTGTTTAGTGACAGATTCAAATTCAAGAAGAATGGAAACTTTGTCAGATACAAATGGACCATGCTCAAAACTCAACTCAAAGACCGAGAAGCCATCTTCTGCGCAAGTTCAACTTCCTGCAACAAGTTCTGAGTCTCAGCTGTCCCCACAACCTGAAGAACGCAGTTTCACAAGAATCAGCAGTCTCCTTGAGCTGGGCATTATTTGTTTACCAGGTAATAGGCACTCCTTATTCTGTCGTCAACAGGATTCAATACAGTATGAAATCGTTATGTTTGTGATGTTAACAAGTTTCATGGTTTCATGTCTTATGAAAGAGATGCCAAAATTAGTGACCAAACAACTACAATTAATGCCATCTATCTGTTGGTGTCAGAGACTAAATGCAGGATAATATTATCTGTAATGACTGGGAAATGGGCTGCTTTCCTTCCATGACTTTTATGTTAGTCTTGTTGACTGCCTTGAGTCCTGGACACCAAAGGTCACAACACTGACTGGCATTCAGTTTTTCTCTATCTCTATCTTTGCCACCGATGTGCACAATAGAGGAAGCATGAAATTGAGCTACTGATTTTTTTAAAGCCAATTGCTAACGCACACATTTTTAAAGGCTTCAAGTGAACTCAAACGTGGCTTTTCTTTTTCTCGTCCAACAGGTAGCAGGGACAGGAATGGCAGGGCTGTTGTGGAGGTCTATGGTGACAGAAAGGAGTGGATGTCCCCTCTTGTGTCTGCACAGAGTATTTGTGAATTGCTGCTCTACTTACACTCCATACCGAGGTATTTTAAATATGGATGAAGTGATTTTGAGGTCTTTCTAAGAAAGAAATACAATCCTTTCAAAGAGCTCTGTACTAATCAAAGCTAAATAAAAGAATGTGATGACTGTGGTCATCCAGCAGAGGGCAGGTGTTAGCTTACATCCATGATAGCATGCAATAGGATGACCAACCACCAGAGGGAAGTAAAACATCATGAAAAGTCAGATTGGGCTGGAACAAGCCATTAATTTATAAGCCACAGAAAATATTCTACTCTTTGTTTGCCATTATATTTTTAATTAATATATAAAAAAGATGTTAACCACATAAGATCAGCTGGCAGTAAGACCAACACGGAGAGGAAACTGTCAGTGGTTACACTCAAAATTCTACTAGTAAACCATTTAGTTGAGACTGATTTCAGTTTAGACAGTTATTATGTAAAAGTTCTGTGCCACATACTAGCCTGATCCTAATGTCCCCTGTAAAAGGTGAAAACAACATTAGTCTGCTTGAGCCAGGCCTGCTGCCAACTGTCTGGTATGCAGCCACTTGCCAAAATAGCAGCCTTGACTTGTGTTGGCTCACGCAACAGTTAGGATTCTCATGAGGATTTGCCATTTGTTGGGATTTGAAAAGAGATTAAAGAATGTTTTATGCAAAGTATCTCTGTGTTGATATCAGATTGAGATAGAAAGAGAATTACAGATCAGGTCAACAATAAAGTGGACAAGTTCTGACGTTCCTAAACATGATGAGTTGTTTTTGTAGAAAAGATGTTCGCGAGTTGGGAATGGCTTTGGTCATCAATGCCAGGAAGAGGCCACCCCCAGTTCAGCTCTATAAAGCATTGCTGATGGCACAGGTGAACACAATCTGTATTGACATGCCTAAAGAATTCCACTATTATGCAAATAAGTACTGAAAATGGATATTTGTGTCAGAGTGATAATAATAAAAGGTGCTAATTGTTCAAGATCATTTGTTAAATAGGATGTGGCTGGACACTATGTTTTGGTTGATAACACATGACAACCTAATTTACTTTTCTGCTTTTGACTTTTTGTCTGACTGAAATAGGAGCAAGCTCTTCATGCTGTTCACAGCATCATCGTTTTGATGGATAAGGACACTAATCCTCGACCTGAAAAACAACCTGGTCTGCAGGTCAGAAATAATCTGGATCATTCAACTCCATTTTGGTCGTTTTAAAAAGTATCATTAACAAAAATATGTGCACTTCTTCCATCCTCGCCAAATCTTTCTCATCAAATTAGATTGAAATGGTAAACTCCCTAAGAGCACTGAATAAGACAGTGGAGGCTTCCCAACTGACCTCTGGCCTAGGAGGCACCTTTACATACAGTCATGCAGACTGGTTGAAGTTCCATGAGGTAATTACTACACACATTACTCTGATAAACAGTGGACTCAGCTAAAAAGAGCTGTTTAACCACACTTATGCTCATCATAAGCTCAGTACAACCTGACAGCATTATTTTATTTGGTTTGGCACTTGTCAGCGTTTAGACATCAAACAATGCTTAAACAATCCTTTTTTCTGACTATTATCAAGTTAAAAAGCAGGTTAGAAAGAAGAATTTGGAGATGTTAAGCATGCATGGTCTAGATATTAGGTAGAGGATATAATTGGCTTTTTTGGCAGCTTTCACTGAGAGTGTGATCACATTTCCTGAATTGCACAAGGACCTTTTGCAATCTCTATTTCTTTCTCCGAATACGTAGTACAGTGAATTAAATGCTATTAATGTACTTAGATTTTTGTTAACTATCAGATATCTATCTTCAAACTTTGATAGGCTAATCACGGTATATCATATCATGTCATTTCATACATTTCAGAGACTGGTACTTTTCATGGTTGACCTGCAAGGGGCTGACAATTTACTGCAAAAGGCAATCAAGAGAGTGGATAGCAGAAAAAAAATCGACACACCCCAGGTAAATTCATTCATACTTTGATGCAATGTAGTTTCTGTGGGCACATGTTGGCACAGGTCTTACACATCCCTTGTGGTAACTACAGGAAGTACAGCAAAGCATCGAGGAACAGAAGGTTTCAATGAAAGAGGTGCTGGAGGATGTTAGATTGGTTACACTACAAAGAGAAGGAGGAGCTTTACTGGCAAGGATGAGGAGAGAGGAGTTCAAATTTCCACAGTCTGAAGACTACAGGTACTTTTTTTACATGCTGTTTGCCTTCTTGTCCAGAACAAAATATAAAGCAAATTTCTAAATATTTACAATTATTTATGTGTTAAAACAACTTTTTATAATGCGATACAACATTTCTAAACTTGACTCAGGTGGGCTATAGAAAAAATAAATCCCATACCATCCATTGGTGAAAGAGACACACTCCTTTTCTCAGTTTTTTTGTCAAAGGTCCAAAGAAAAGCATACATTATAAGTGCTGGCACAATTTTTTAATAGAGTATCTACTGCTGACCAATTATTTTAACCATATGATTTAAGTTGGGAAGGTAACACAGCATGACTTGATAGTGACTGTCAGCATCACAAGCATATAAAAATGTACATGTAAGTCATTAGAAAGAAAAGTGTAGAATAAGGCCACATTTCATACAAGGTGGCATTTAAAAGCCAAGGCTCTAATGTTTAAATACGATTTTATTTATTAAAGAACACTGATCCCTATAATACACAGTAGTACATGCCACATCATAATATCCGGCTGTATGAACAACGGAGTACTCACTTTTTTTTCCTTGCCGCTCCTTTCTGTGAAGAGACGCTTTGGAGTCAGTGACAAGTCTGTACAACCAAGTTGAGGAGAAGCTCCATACATTGGTGATGAGGTCAAATGAATCACTGCAACACCTCGAGTTCCTCCTCAGGCTCAGGGAGATGGAAGCCCAAATAATCACGGTAACTCAAGCTGCGTTAGTCATATCACAGTTTTGGAAACAACACCAATGACTTGAATGCTTGCTGGTTTTGGCAAAAGAGTGATTTTCATGCAGAAACTGTACCTAGGCCTACAGCAAAATGCCAATTTACAACATAAGACTGCATAACTGTTTTATGATGACTTGCAGGCAGGGCTTTGGTTCAGCGCAGAAGGTGAAGAGAGACTGAATGACTCTTTCACAACAGATGAATTATTAGCGTGCACTGAAAAGGCCCTCCAGGACTTCAATTTATTCCTCTCTAACTCCAAGGTATGGCAAAAATATAATGAACAGAAATATATTCTTCAAATGTACATAAACCAACATTTTTTCCTTTTCTTGCCATATTTTGTCAGTCATAACAACAAGTTTTAGAGGGCACTGGAAAGTGAATGTGCTCCCCTTGACGTCTTATTTGTCACAGGACAAACAACAGCATGCCTTGACGTTGATAAAGGAAGCGGAGGAGATTGTAAGCGCCAACAACTCCAGTCCTGCAACAGACATATTTCGTACTCTTGTCAGCACTTTCAAATCCAATGTGGAAGACTTCATTTTGCGGGCAGAACAGAGGCAGAAAGAACTGGACACACAAGTGCACGTGTACAGCTTTTGTGAACAGGTTTGTGTTTAGACGTAGCAACATTTAAGCCTTTAGCCTCTGTCTCCACTCAGTGGCTCCTTGGAAATACTTCTGTTAGATTTAACCTTAAATCAATCTAAAAATGATTCTGTTTTTTCACTCACTCTGTCTAGGTCACAGCTTTGGCCCAGGAATGTTGTATTCTTTTGGAGCAAGTAGAGAAAGGGTGTAACTCTGCTCAGACATTAAGCACACTTCAAATATATGAGGAGAGATTAGGTGGTGAATTCTCCACCCTGCACTTCCAGGCTCTGAGAGCTAAAGCCTGTGGTGTGGGATCAGGGGCCTCTGGGATGATGAGAGTATGGAATGCAGCATGGATTCAGAGCCAAAAAGTCCGGCAACGTCTTGAGAAGATGCAGATGAAAAAAAGAGTAGATAAGAACCAGATCCAGCAGACCACAACTGCAAACCCACCAGAAGACCGTGCAGAAATGTGGGGGGAGGGAAAAAGGAATGAGCTTGGGACAGCTGAGAGCTCTATGAACCTACAGCCAGTTTCTATTACAGAGGTAGTCACTCCTAGCAAGAATAAGGGAGAAAGCACCTCTGTATTATTCTCCAGGCATGATCTGAAAAACGAGTGTAAAGGGAACAAAAACCAAAACAGCATTGAGATGCAGGTTTCTAAAATTGAGGACTGCAATGTGGACAACAAATGGAAGTTCAGAGAACACCACAGTGAAGCAGACCTGAGGAGCTCAAGTTCTGCAACAGAGGGGCAGGAATTGCCTGTGCACCAGACTTTGGCCCGGTCCCTTAGCGAGGGCTCATGCCCGACCAGCATCTCTGGCTTTTCACCTTTAATTATAAGTCACGAACACTGTTGTAGTGAGATACAGCCACTGGATCAAGACCTGCAGGCCATCCAAAACCTGTCCATTTCATGCAGAGAGGGTTTGTGGCAGAAACACTTGAGCTGTGAGGCAAAAACAGACAATGATAAAGAGAAGGGTGAGAGATGTGCTTTCACCAACCAGAGACCAGAACATTTAGAAGCTCAAAACATATCACTCACACCAACAGACAACAATGGAAACAGTTTTTTGTGAGTATTCATCATTCATTTACTGTTATCACAAAACACCTTACAAACTGTATTAAAATGTCTTTTTTAATATATTACATTGATTCCATGAAGAAAAATGCTTATATGAATTATCCAAAACATATCTTGATTCAAAATTCACCTCTTACAATCTTCAAAAATGTGTGGTTTAACATTTTTCATTTCCTTCAAATTCGAACAGGAAAGTACAGAGGATTTTAGAAGAGTTGCTGTCTACAGAGAGAGAGTACGTCAAAGCTCTGGGTTATGTCCAAGAGCACTACTTCCCTGAGCTGGAGAGGGCTGACGTCCCTCAGGACCTCAGGGGCCAGAGGGGGAGCATCTTTGGTAACTTGGAAAAACTCCATGACTTCCATCATCGTTATTTCTCAGATGAATTGGAGAGCTGCTTGAAAGAACCTTTCAGAGTGGGACGCTGCTTTCTAAAACATGTGGGTCAAAGAACTTTAGATACTTTTTTACTCGAAATGTCTCTGTGTATGTGGGACTTTCTTGTGACAAAATCTTCATTTTTAGCAGTACCACAGATGGCTTGACAATACTGATGTCAGCTTTGTTAGCCCATGGTGATAAAGCTTTGGTAATACTGTCTTTAGTCTCAGCAAATAGATTTCCTGCGTAATCAATTGCGCAAAAAAGCCTTTTTGGATTTACCGGATACATCTGGATACTGTTAGTTTAAATTACAGTGAATTCTGTTATCTGCTCAGCATCATAATTACTTACATGAGAGAACAAAACGATTGTTGCCACAACTTTAACTTCCTTACGTACACCCGCTAATGTTTTGTAGTTTTACGCATAAATAGTGATAAGTTATTATAATAATGATGCTTAATTGTCTTTATTTATCCATTTGTCTTTTTAGAAAGAGAGCTTCGCTTTGTATGCCCTTTACAGCAAGAACAAACCACAGTCTGACCGTCTTCTCATCAATCACGGACATGCTTTCTTTAAGGTAAACAGCAGCAGTTGCTCTTTGCCTTGTTGTTTTTCCTCATCTTAAAAAGCTAATTCACAAACAAGGATGATAAAACCAGGGGTTTATGGGGAGAGATTTTAGTAAAATGTTTGTGATGACATAGTAGACGAGGGGCTCTTCTGTTTGAAGCATTGCGTTCGGTTGGAGGTACTTTATCAAATTGATATGACAAAACGTAAACATTGCCAATTTTGAATGACCTTTTTTTTTTACTAATAAGTCTGAATGGTAAGGTACCTACAAATTTTATTGCAAAGCATCCAATAGTGAGATGTTTCTATTTGAATCATCACTTTTAGGTTAAATGGACATTTTCATCACTACATTTAGTCTAATTACTTTTTTTATTCCTTCCAATGCAACCACCCTTCAGCACAGTTTTTTCATGACACAAAACTGGTTTTCTGCCTCAATGTATACAAGACCAACCCTTCTAACCTAACAGCTTGGTTTCCTCTATTGTCATCCCAGCAAAAGCAGCTGAAGCTGGGAGATAAAATGGACCTGTGGTCCTACCTGCTAAAGCCTGTGCAGCGCATCAGTAAGTACAGCTTACTGCTGCAGGACCTGATGAGGGAGTGTGGATCTGGACACACCAGAGAGATCGCCGAGATCAAGGCAGCCCTGGAGGTCATTCACTTCCAGCTCCGCCATGGCAACAACCTGCTGGCCATGGATGCTATCCACCACTGTGATGTAAGGCGAGCGTCAGTAATTACTTTAGTTTTCTCACACTAATATAAACACCACTAACATGGAATAATGTAGAAACATTTGCAAGCATGTACACTAGCTGTGTGTTTGTGTTTGTGTGCGAGTACATGTATCCCCAGTAAAAACACATCTGGAAGGGCTCTGTGAATGAAATGTCAGTTTTTTACACCTTATGTTATGCTCCTTTTCTGTGCTACAGGTTAATCTGAAGGAACAGGGGCAGCTAATATGTCAAGATGAATTCTTGGTGACATTCAGGAAAAAGAAATGTTTCCGTCATATTTTCCTTTTTCAAGAACTCGTTCTCTTTAGCAAGACCAAGAAGACTGATGTGGGGAATGACACTTATATCTACAAACAGTCATTCAAGGTATCATTCAATTTCTGTAGTATTTCTCCCTCTTTCAAACACACACATAGACACACACAATTTATAAACATGAATGTATCATTTTTATTTTAAATTTTTGGGAAATTTTCTGAGGGTTGCACAATGATATGGTGGTTGACCCTACTGACTCACAACAGGATTGCGCATTACTTTTTATTTCCAGACATTGAGGGGTGAAAACACATCCTCTTAACACAGTTTAGAAAACTACATGAATGCTAATTTACCTTACCCCACCATGTCATGTTCTTCTCCATGTAGACATCTGACATAGGCATGACCCAAAACAGCGGTGATAGTGGATTGTGTTTTGAGATCTGGTTCAGGAAGAGGAAAAGCCAGGACACATACACACTGCAAGCAAGTAGTCGAGAGGTGAAGGAAGCCTGGACCAAGGACCTGGAGCGGATCCTGTGGGAGCAGGCCATACATAACAGGGGTACAGCGCCCGTGCTAGCTTCCATTATTGGCAGATGGATCACATGAGAATTTAGTCATGTTGAGGTTAATTTATGAGAGGTTGATGTTAGTTTTTCATCTTTTCAGAGGTCCGCATGCAGGAGAGAGTGTTCTTGGGCATTGGAAACAAACCTTTCATGGACATCCAGCCAAGTGATGCAGCTATCAGTGACAGAGCAGTCAACTATGTCCTGATGGGAAGAGGTTAATAAATGATTCAGTGGATTCTGATTTCCAGTCAGTTCTTGACTTTTACTAGCTATATCCCGTGATGAAATATATTTGACATGTTTTCTGCAGACAACAAGGTGCTCCACTGTGTGGGATCAAGTGTGTCACCGGGCGAGGCTCCCGGTAGTCGACCAAAATCTGTTGGTTCAGGCAGCAACTCATCCTCCTCCTCCTCAGGCCGGGGTTCCTTGTCTCCTGTAGAATTCATGCCTGGCCAAAAGCAACGAGTGGTTTCGGGTGGTCTTGGAAGTTTTGCGTCGCCTCCTGGTGCTCTTGAGGAGGATGACCTGGACCATGATAGTGGAAGTCAGACCTTATTGTGTAAGTCCAACGTTTTCAGACCAACTCAGTGATTTGAATAGAGAAACAATGTACATCTCTATTGGACAACAACCTCTTGGTGTTTTATTCAGGATGCCTGAGCTGTGTCAGGCCTCCTCTGCTATTCAAGAAATAAACAGCTTGATTTAGCTCTGAAGCCCACCTCTGATGCCGTGTTTGTGCTGTGGCTGTCCAGGGCAATTGGTCTATGTACAGAGTTCATTTCTCAGTCTTTACACCCAACCTCCCATTTCTGTCTTCATACCAGTGGACAGCTCTGAGTCTTCTGGAGAGAGTGTCAGTGGCCTCAGCAGTTCCAGTCACGGCTACCAGTCTGCTGTGGGGGGAGAGGTGGAGGACAACTCCTCTGTCTGCTCCTCCATAATCACTGTCAAGGAAGCAGCAGTTGGTCATCCTGCTGAAGCTTTCACTGGCTTGCAAAACCCAAATGCTAAGGCCGGTTCTACTAAGAAAACCCAGCCACCAGTTGCACCCAAGCCCAAACTCAAGCTGCAACAACAAAACAAGAATTTGCCTGGCAGCAAGGTGAAGTAGAGAGAGTTTTGAGTAACTCTTCATGTGTAAAAGTAATGCAAGAAAGAAACATTAAAAAGGAAATTTTATCTCACTGAATCCTTTTCCCAGATATTTTCACTTGCAAAGAGACATTTTTGTGAATCATAATACTTCTCTATTTCAATTACTAAAGTTAATGATATATGTTATGGCATTTCTCAGGCTCAGAGCGCCAGTGTTGGAAAGTCCACAGATGTTTGACTGGTAAAGTAAAGATTAGCACTTTTCCTAGATCACCAACATTCCTATAACTAGCCCATTAGTTGCTTGACTTTTCAAATTTGTACACAAATAATGTCAGTTCAGTTGTGTGGTTTGAATATCTTATTTCTTTCTGTAGATCTGGATGCAGACCACTCAGAATTTGCCTGCACTGAAGATGACAGCGATTAAAAACATTTTAGAATTCCAGCTGTTGCTGTATTCTGTTAACACTCTGTACAAAAGTTTCTTTTTTTTTTAAATATTACCAAGCAATAATTCTTCTGTTTATAATTGCTCTGTTGTGTAAATTTAAACAGGGCTGATTTAGATTCTGTTAGACATAAACGGCATTGCTTTACTTATAATTCCCTGTGCATTATTCTAGTTTATTTGCTCATACTCTTGCTACTGTAGTTATACTTTAGCTTGAAAATGTAAAATAAGGTAATACACAATGTTTTTTTATGTTATGAATGTATTTGTCTTAAGTTAATTTCTTAATATTTCTTAATTATGAAATATTTGTGCTAAACAATAAAAACATGTAATCAGTATTTTGTAACTAATTGCTTTGTTTTGCATATTATTGGTTTGACACCTGATCCATTCAAATATATGTCTTTCTATTTTAAATACAAAATCTTCTTAAAGCTTTCATGTGTTTCATGTGTTCCCCCAAAACACTGCATCAGATGTGCATTTAAAGTCAAAAGGTAACATTTCATATTCATGTGCAGCCTATACAATTTTCATCTGCAATGCCATCTTCTGTGGACAGTGAAATTGAAATGGTATGGTATAATTGAGGGATGAACGCATGTATTCATTACTTGATGGTTCATTCACAAAGTATTCTATATTTGCCTTATGGATACAATTTCTCAGACTTTCTTGATGTACTGTTAAAAAATACTATGAATATGCTGTGTGACTTACAGTATCTCTTGTCTGTTTGGTTAACAGATGCTGTTCTTCTGGAGTTTTTGCAGACAAGTGTTTCTGATGTGCGCACGGCCATCAGAAGAAAGTGTAACGATCAGCAGTTTAGCCAAAAAAAAAGGAACATAATGTGTGCTATACGTGTTTATGTAGGGTGTGAGGGGTTAGGGTTGCAATAAAAAGGAAAGTTGGTTTTCATTGTTCAGTATTCAGTGTTCTTTAAAGTTTATGTGTAATGTTTATGGTCTGCTACCAGAAATTGACCTATTTCTAAAAAGAATTTGAAAGTGTGTTGTAAGTTTTATAATGAAAATGGTTCAAATCTATATGTAAATGTTTATATATTCTGACATGGTACAAGTTGTCGTATTAATTGTAATGTACATGGTTCACATACATTGAAGTATATTTTTTCACCTGCATGGAAGTAGTCCCACAAGTCTTTCAGCCTTTAGTATACTGGTAATACATTTGCAAGAATGTGCAAGGTAAAAAGTAGTAGAGCAAAGTAATGATAAAGTATATTGACTATTAACTGCAAAGTATGCTTTTTTAGTGATTGGAATAAGCCAACAGTATAAATAAGCATATTATTACCATATTAAGAATATATTAAAAGCATAAAGCTTATATATTTTTAAGACACTAACAAATATTTTTTAATGTAGTTATAATACAACCAAAGTATACTTTAATTTGACTAATTAAGCACATATTAGTACATATGAACTCATATACTTAAAGCATACTAAATATACTTAAAGTTGTTCCACTTTAGCACATCAAAGTACACTTCAAGTTGAGCTTTTCCACAATTAAATTGCAATTAAATATATTTAGTACAAAATGAATTGTTCCAAAATAGCATACTTCAAGTTAAATAATCATAAACACACTTCAAGTGCCTTCAAGTACCCAAACGTATGCTACATTTTAGTACACTTAGCACATTTATTAAACCACGGTTTTCGCGTGAAAAACCACAGAAGTGTGTGGGCGAGTCTGTGTGCGTACGTGCTTTCGCAAGGCTTGTCCGTTTTTCCTCTTTATTTTCCCACTGCCCTCTTGTGGGGAGGGTCGTGTCACACCCACCATGAGTGGCGGGCACAGGGACTACAAATAAAGCCCCAGCAGCGGCCGGACTGCTCACTCTCCTCCTCTCTGCTCTGCGCCACCACACCGTTTTCTCCCCAACAGCCGCTGGAATCATGACGCAAGGTAAGCAGCACTTAGTGCCAGCAGGTTTTGCTTTTGCTTTTTTACAGGCAGGGAACTTTTTGCCATGCAACATGCTGGAGTTGTAACAGACTACTTAAAGGTTACAAACACAAACGATCAGGTGTAACTGCATGCCTAAAACATCCTTTCAGGGTAGCTTTGACTTTGGTTGAGTTTTCTTTCCAGGGTGGATGTTTATAATTAGAAGCAGCTGATGGATCACAGTGGATAAGTGCATATCTTAGCAGGGCAAACTTTCACATAAGTATTTTGTTACCAACAAGCAACCTGCGTTGTATTCTGGTATCACCACCATCCCCTTCAGAGCTAGGCACAGTCATGTAGAAATCAAGCATTAAAATCCGGGGAAACGTTTCACAAAGTCTGTGCAGAACATAATTGCCTTTTGAGCCAGACCTCTGAAATGGCAGCTATGAGCAGCTGGAGTTTGTTCTGATTGATGCCCTCTCTAAAAGCATGAACTCATCGAGAAAATAGCTTGCTCCCTACTGCCCTGAGAAACTCCTCAGAAATGTTCATGTTTGTTTTAAAATACTTCTACGTTTCTAAATTGTAATAATTGCTTTTGCCGGCTATATTTAGTTTGTTCCCATGTCTTTAGGTCTGGCTACTGGAGCTACTAAATACAAATTCAAACAAAATCTTGTGACAGCCAGACACCATCCCAAGTGACACTTGTTTTCCATCTGTTTGTCACACAGAAAGGATTCATGTTAAATTTAAAGGGCCTTTGATGAAGTTTCCAAGTAAACATAGGTGGTGCCTGGAGAACTGAAAAGTCCTTATTTACTATTTATTTAAGTGTATTTAAATTATTTAAATAGTTTTTTTCTGTACACCAGTTAGTTTTCTGTTTGAATGACCTTTTTAGGCTCTTACTGGGCTCAGTGTTGCTGGTAACAAAGTCCATCTGTGGTGTTGGCGATGGGAGGGGGTCATGGTTGGTACCGCTTGAGCAAAGTAAAAGCATGAACATTACAGAAAGGTTAGTAAGGGCTGCAAGAACAAGGCTTCATAATCTCTGATTGTGTATTTTACTTTGGAGTTATGTGGCTCTACAGAATTAGCTGCAAGCTATGGATGTGGGAGTTTCTGCCACATGTGTGTAACATCTGGCATACCAGAGATGCAACACTTTTAAAAGTTGCACAGCAGTGTGCGGCTGTTTAGGATCAAATGTTGTCTCTTAAAGCAATGTATGCCTCAGGAATGCTGCAAAATCACTTCAGAAAAGATTATCTTTTTGGGGGGGTACAGTTTTAGCCACAGATTTTCTTACGGTTTTGGGTCAGAAAATCATTTAGGACGTAATTGTTTTCAAATTCAGTGAGGGAAATCAGCAGTCTTTTCCAAATGTTACTGCTATCAACTGCATAAACATTAACTGTGTTACAGTTTTATCCTTGCATATTTTACAAGTTAATTCACATAACCTGTCAAAGTGTACAGATGACTGTTCCCAAACCTTTAAATGGTGTACTAAGAAAACTGATTTTCTAATGCGTAAAGACAAAACAAAACCTTTATAGATATGTAAATATGACAGCTACACATAATGCTTCAGCATGTCTTTAGTTAATACTTGGACTGAGGTCAGCATCAGTAAACACTAACAACACTGAGCAATGATCCCCTGTGGACGTGATGTGAAGCAGCTGTCTATCTCAGCCTTGACACCACCTCCTGTTCCCAGGCCTTGTTTTTAACACCAAACCATGATATATGGAGAGAGGCTAACCTCTGACTTTTCAAACAACAGCAGTGGAAGTGCGATGTAAGGTGATCCATGGTTTTCTTTCAAACGGGGAATCCAAGGGTTGGACTAATTTGTCTAAAGTGCAAGGAAGACTGTGCGTGTGCATGGACTAACTTGCAGCAACCTGCAGACGATAGATTTCATGGAACTATTGTGTCCTTCATACAGTCTTTTAAGAGACCAATATGATAAAAAATCCTTTTTATAAGTAATGGATTATGAAGAAAGAACTTTTTTTTAATGCAGATGAATATTCCCACAGAAATGTTGCTATCCGGTCTCATGTAAATATTGTGAAGTAGTCACTTGAAGGGACTCTTATGTGTGTATACTATTTAGGACCAAAGATGCATTTTTCTTTTTATCACCCTTTTTAGAAATATTAGCTTTTTACCACACATGCTAGAGAATTGCAGTTTAATGGCACATCTGGTTACGGTCTTCTGCAGGTTTTGTGTGCCAAGCCAAGTGGGAAAAACTTGGCAGTCAGCAATCCAGACATGAGATATTTTGATGCAAATTTAGATTACATAATCACTTTCAAAGCAGACAACAATGTTTTCTGACCTTATGAATGACTACCCCAAGTAAGCGAGTTTTAAATGTATAAAAACAAAAATGATAAGAAACAGCAACTTTCTGCAAAACTGACAAAACCAGTAACCAATTGGTAAATCCAACCCCTCAAATCTCCAAATGCAGGCTTGTATGCAACAGTCAAGCTTAACTAAAAAGTAACTGTAATAATCATTTAAATGTCTTATGTTTTATTTTTATTAGCTTTTTTTCCTTCTTCTTTTAAGCTCTGGACATCAGTAATGTGAACCTGGAATGTCAGTTTAACAATACTGACCATAACACTGATCTCAATGGAGTGGATCGTCTTATTGTGAGGAGAGGCCAGCCATTTTCAATACGCCTGTATCTTCGCTCTGGAAACTATCAGCCGGGAGCCAGTTCTCTTCACTGTGTTGCTGAAACAGGTACTACTCCTTTGATTTATTCTCAGATCGGGGTACATGTTCAAGTCAATTTTTTACAGGTACACTTCTGTCTGTGTAGTGGTCAGTGGCACTTCAGTGATGCTTAGAAAATCTCAAAATGCCAGTGAAAAAGCTTTGTGATTATATCTTCTCATTCAGGAAGTCGGTGCACGTTGAAGCCCTGAACCATGGCATGTGTCCACTGACTTTCATTTGTTGTTACCTGTACAAAGGGAAAGGGAGCACCAATGTCCGGAGAAAGGAAAAGGGAGTGATCTTGGTCGTTTATGTCCACATTATAGTCGTAAGATGTTGAGTTGTTCACATTCTCAACCTCAAGTCTTCTCACACTCCCTCTGCAATTTTAAGAGGCCTTTTTAGCTCTTTTCAGGGACTTAATAAATTGTATCTTTAAATATTTGCTTTCAGAATGCAAACAATGAAAACTGTTGTATCATCTTCTTGGAATAAAGCTTATGTGAAGTATGTGTTAACACTACCACTGCAGACCAGCAAACACTATTTCTTTTACAGGAAGTGTTGTTTGCCAAGAGGGAAGCATATGTATAACTACAGATAACACTTATCAGGCTTGAAAGTCAAAGCATATTTGAATGGACATCATTGGAACCCTTCATCCCATCCAACGAAGGGGGAGTAATGGAAAGACTTCTTGTTGCAGGCAGTATTTAATGGAATATATCAAAGGAACTGACTCTGGTACAAATGACAGATGCAAGCAGTCAGTTTTACACAGTTCTAGGCTCAATGCAAAATAGAAAATGCCAAAGATTTTTCAAGCCAACTGAATGGCTTGGAAGCAATGGATAAACATTTTCCACACAAAAATGTTCTTCTAAAACCTCTTAGCTCATGTGTTTCAGACTATTGGTTCTAACTCTAATCCACTGTTACACACAGGCCCTCAACCCTCTGAGCAGTATGGCACCAGGGCCAGCTTTGGTTTGTCCCCCAACATTGACACTTCCAGGTGGAGTGCTGCCATCACCAGTCCCCCCGGGGATATGGTCACCCTGTCTATCTGCCCTGCACCCGATGCACCTATAGGCCGCTACAACCTGACCCTTGGGCAGTCGCAGAGGATTGACTTTGTTCTGCTCTTTAACCCCTGGTGCCCAGGTGGGTAAACGGACTCCATTTGCCGTTCTATTTTGTAGGAAAAATGCTTTGATGATCATGTTTTATAGCAGTGAGAATTAAGCATCAGAGCCTGTCAGAGCTAAACAAATTATATATTGGAGTCCTTGTATCTTAAAAAATACGAGTTCCATCTAAGACGTGAACCCCATCCGTCATGTTCCAGTGCGGGCTTGCCTCAGAACTTTATTTGTATTGTCTCTTGGTAACAGGGGATGTCGTATATATGGACAGTGAGCAGAGTCTGGCAGAGTATGTGTTGTCCCAGGATGGAATCATCTTTCGAGGCAGCTACAAATATCCGATACCTACTCCCTGGAACTTTGGCCAGGTACCAAAACCAACAATTACCCTATCAGCCTCATTCCAGGGTTCATACATCCAGAAGACAGCATTGAGTCGGTGTGGTTTGGGATTTTGAGTTGCAGTTCAACCCTGATAGTAGGAAAATATCTGCTTATCATTGTATATATATACAATAACAGAGACCATGTCTGCCTAAGTTAGTATGAAATTTAGTATGTCTGAACACAAACTTCACGAAAGGTGTGAGGCAGTAAGTTTTAAAAAAAAATTTTTTTACATTCAATACGTTTGAGCATTAATTATGTAGTTTTTAGCCTTCTTCAGGAGTTTTCTATTCATTCTTTACTTTTGTATCTGGCTAAACTAATCTGCATCTATGTAAATTGCTTTCTGGTGTAGTTTGAAAATGGAATCCTGGATGCCTGCCTGAATATTCTAGACATGAATCCGAAATGTCTTCGTAATCCTGGCAAAGATCACTCAGGGAGAAGAAATCCCATCTATGTGTCCAGAGTGCTGAGTGCCATGGTAGGCTACCTGTTACCTTTTAGTTTACCATTCTGCATTCTGTTGGGACGACTTTTACACCATTTTCATTTATTTGGCAGGTGAACTGCAATGACGACAAAGGGGTGCTGCTGGGAAGATGGACAAATGATTATGCAGGAGGTGTGAGCCCCCTGTTTTGGCGAGGCAGCGTGGAGATCCTGCGAAACTGGGATACCCAAGCCTGCCAACCTGTTCGCTATGGACAGTGCTGGGTGTTTGCTGCAGTGGCCTGCTCGGGTGAGATAGGACAGAGTACAGTTAGTGGCCTATCTCCAGACAACACACAACACGTTCCTCACCATTGAAAGAATATAATTTTGATTCTCATTTTTGCCTTCCTTTTCAAACTTCTGTTTCAGTTTCCAGGGCCCTGGGTATTCCCTGTCGAGTTGTAACCAACTACCTGTCTGCCCACGACACCAACAGTAACCTTGTGATTGAGCGCTATATCGACGAAAATGGGGAACTCTTAAAATCCAAAGAAATGATCTGGTGGGTGTTTTTATTGCTAGATAAACTATTGTTGATGAATTCCTGTTGGTCTATAAGAGCTGAAGATATCTGCTGTTAACATACATGCCATAATGCTGCATAGTCCAACATGAAAAGGTTTAGATACATGTGTAAAACAAAAGTAGATTTTCATGTAAAAATGAAGCTGTTCCGTTGAAAATCCCCTTTATTAGACTGTTTTCTACAATTTGCCTTCAAAAGGCTGTTTACTCTGTTGATGTTTAGATATATATATTATATTGTGTAAAAACTGTTCATTTATCATAAGAAAAAGAGAAGTTTAAGAGATGTCTTCATAAGCTTTTGCATCCAGTTGATGATGTGCATTTTATTGCAGGAACTACCACTGTTGGGTTGAGAGCTGGATGACTAGGCCAGATCTTAAATCTGATTTTAATGGCTGGCAAGCTAGTGATCCTACACCCCAGGAGAAAAGTGAAGGTGACACACTTAATTTACTCTCATTTAAAAAAAAAAGTCTCTACTCTTTATTTGTTTTGATTTGGTTTGAGGATCTGTCACAGATTGGTCTGGCCTTTCCCCCGTCATACAGGAGTGTACTGCTGTGGCCCCGTCCCTGTCAGAGCCATTAAAGAGGGGGAGCTCAGATTCAAGTATGATGCTCCCTTCGTCTTTGCTGAGGTCAATGCTGATGTCATTACATTCATGAAGAAAAAAGACGGTAGCACCTCAAAGGTTACTTCCACTACAACAGTGGGCCAGAAAATCAGTACCAAGAGTGTGGGCAGTGATGCTAGAGAGGACATTACCCATCTCTACAAGTACCCTGAAGGTAGCACGCTTTGCTTGTTATATCTATATGAACTTGATAAAATAACTTATTTTAAAGACCAAATAATGCAAAACATTGAACATTTTCCCTCGTACCAGAATAATTCACAATTAAAAATGATTGTGCTCTACACTCAAAGAAATTTAATTTAAGTTTATTTACTAAATTTATTTTGATCTTTTCCATTGTCCTTAGAATATCTAAATTCTATATTTTTCTCATTAAAGCTGTTAGAGTAGATCACTTCACAATGGCAAAACAAAAATGACCTCATTATTGATTGTTTTATGCTTCTTAATACATATTTATAGGATCTGATGAAGAACGAGAGGCCTTCAGGAAAGCCGACCACCAAAACAAGCTGCTCCAGCAGCAGGATAACGGTCTGCTCCTTACTATCAAAGTGACACCAGACATGAGGAAAGGCTGCGACTTTGATGTGTTTGCTGTTGTTACCAACAACACACAGAGTGTGAAGAAGTGTCGCTTGGTATTTGGATCCTGTGCTTTGTCATACAATGGTGTTTTGGGAGGAAACTGCGGTTTCAAAGACCTTCTCAATGTGGAGCTCTCACCTGGTGAAGGTAAGCCATGTGGTCATTCAATGAAAGTGGTGCTGAATAAGACTCATAGCAAATAGCTTAAAATATTTTGTGTCTGTCCTTCTAGAGAGGAAAGTTCCCCTGAGGCTGAACTACTCCAAGTATACTGGCCAGCTCACTGAGGACAACTTAATCCGTCTGGCAGCTCTGCTGTTGGACTACGCTACCAGAGAGGCGACGCTGGCAGTGAGGAACATTGTGCTGACGAACCCTGAAATAAAAGTCAGAGTGAGTACTAGCAAAAAAAAAACAGTTCCACTAAATGGTATCTGTTTGCAAGCTTCATTCAAGAAGTAAAATGTAATATTATGTCACACCAATGAATATATGTACCTCATAACAGCTTGTTAATTGAGACCAACTGAGAGACTTAGAAGCAAAATCAGAGATGGCGCTGACAACAGCTGGTTCACTGCACCTGATAGTTAGTTTTGATCGAGGCTGAAGGGCAGCTTAGCTTGAGCCAAATGGATTGAGCAAGACCTGAGGCAGAGGCAGAAAGGAATTGTCTTTATCTTGAGAGCAGAATTAATTATAGGGAGGAAGTTTAAGTCAAGAACATATCGGCTAAAGTATGCCCTGGCAAAGAGTGAGAAGTCAGTGTAGATATGCAAAGGTGGAAAGTCTCATTATGAGATGCGCAAGATTAATGCTGTGTCCAGAGAAATACAAAGGACAAAATTGATCAGAATCGCAACAGTTAATTTATGTTGTGGGCTTATAAGCCCAAACCATGTTGTGCTATAAAACTGTCCTTCCTTTCTGTTCTTTATTTACGTTCTTATTACACCTATTATTTTTAACACTCGAATACTTCTAGATTTCTCAGGATTAACAACAAATTCAACACAATGTGAAGTGTCCTTCCTCAGAAGGATGTTGGCACTGAGCCATTTCATTAATGGTATAAACAGGGATGATGGCTTGCTGATGTTTGGCTCTGTATCAACCATTATGGACAATTCTGTGGAATTGATCCCCTGACTGGTAAAGGCCTACAATAAGGTTAGCGTGCAGTATGTCAGAGCAGGTGTGAAGTTTACTGGCCCACCAGTTTATGCTCTTCTGGCCAAAGTAAAGCTAACTCTTTGATTCGACTGTTGCCCTCAGATCCTGGGTGAACCAAAGGAGAATCGGAAGTTGGCTGCTGAGATCACTCTCAAAAACCCTCTGCCAGAGCCATTGGAGAACTGCTGCTTCAACATTGAGGGTTCAAACTTGACTGGGGGACGGGTCATCTCTGAGAGGTTCGGTCATTTTTTTGTCACACTGGAAGTTTGACTTAGTTCTGTGATTTTTGCCAAATCATCCGTGCAGAACCCAGATGCCTGAGTGGACGAGCAGCTGTTGGGTGGGACAGGCACGCAGTGTTTCAGAGACACACTGTGAAGGGGCTTACTGGGGCAGACAGGAGATTTATAAAGAATGATATGCCAGAGTGTTTCATTGTTGAGCTGTAATCTCTCAATGACTCTCTCTGTTTGTTTCGATCTTACCAAGTGAATAACTTAACGATTGTCTAATGAGTAATGAGACAGACGTTTCTGACAGCTGAAAATATATGCTGAAATTTCAAACCTGCAGCTACAGTTTCATAATTTATATAAACATTCGACAACAGTTGTATTGTTTGAAGCAATTAGTATTACTAAATGTTTTAAATGGCACAAGGATTATCAAGTTTCTATTACTGCTTTAAGAATGATCATAATTGACGTGTATTTTCAGGCTGGGCTGCACGGTGGGACCCGGGGAAGATGCCAAGGTTAAGATCTACTTCACTCCAACACATTCTGGGCTGAGAAAACTGGTGGTCGACTTTGATAGTGACAGGTTGTGTCACGTCAAGGGTTACAGAAATGTCATTATTGGAAAGTAAACTTTCAATGTGACACAAATATATTTACTTTTCATATCCAAAACTCATAGCATGGTAACAATATATAAACATGAAAATATACGCACTTCTATTTACGTATTGTTAGGGGCTTTTTTGCTAAAATATATTCTTATTGTCTCTTCGGGTGGCATCTTTATTGCACAATACTTATCCTGTCCTATCACAGGCTGCCAAAATTATTAGCTTTTGAAGCAATATGCCCGCTTTTATAAAAGTACAGCATTTAAAAGACTAATTACTGATGTTTGGAACAGTCTAGAGCTTGCTTAAGTAAAGAGAATGTCTAGCTGCAAAGCAATCATGAGCTTGATATTTACTGTTAAAATGATGTATCTTAAATGTATATCCTACCAACAGCAAGGGAGAGGTAATTCACTGCAGCATTTGGTTTTTGTGATGTTGTATCACACCTGGCAGTGTACATATTGTCCCTTGGCTGATAGTGAATTATAAATATTTTATCACCTTATGGGACAGTGCTTGGCTACAGGGGAAGCCACAATTCATCAAAAAAAAATTCCTTCCCAGTTGGAGCATCTCCTGTCACTGTAAACAGGCCAATATAAGTGTTTCTTCAAAATTCAAATCACATGTGGAACTCGTGCTAACACCCTGCAATAATTGTAAACAGATTTCCAAACCCCATATTGTTCCTCCCCTCTCCTTGCACCTGTAATACACATCATTTACCACGCATGAGCTGCCATTAACATGTGAACTTTTACAGAATAAACAGTTTTCACAAAATGATGAATTTGTTCTCAATGGTCTGTTATGCAAAACTATGGCAGTAGGAGAGATACATTTTAAAGATTACATTTTTCAGAGGAAACTGCTATTAAGTTGAATTAATGCTAAAGAATTAACTCCCTATAAAGTCGGTACATCTCTATTTGGTTGCTACAGCACAGTATTTAAAAGTTGAAGTATCCCTGAATTTGCATGAATAGGTACTGCTCCCTGCTGGTCAGAAAGATCAACCCTTCAGAATTGAGCATTGAGTTTGGAGAGCTCCTGAAAGTTGCGGCATTACTAAAAACCCTTTCGAGTTATAATACAGTTTCCATCACATGTTACAAGATACAAATCAATCAGTTTCACCAAGTTCTATTAGTCAGGTTCTGGTGCACAATCTGGCAGTTGCAGCCCCTCCCAACCCTGCTGCTTTTAAATCAGATTGCACATATTCAAATGCAAGTCATTTCACCAAAAGCTTATTTTGATCTAGCAGACACAGTACCACAAAAGGACAGAGGAAAAAAATATGATTCAAGTAAATGTATTTAACAGAACAATATCAGACAGCAGCACTAAGAACAAACACAGTCAAGAAAAACTGATGTTCTTGATGAAGACGTACTGCCTGTGAGAAAAAGATGACAAATATTTGGTCTGAAGTTATGTTTGGATCATTTGGTCAAGCAGCACTGAGTAAATTTAATTTTATCATGAAGGTCTGCAGTGTAAAAGGGAATATACAAAGAAATGATTATATTTTCTTACTGTGATGAAGGCATACATTTTGTGACATTGCAATAGAAATCTTGTCTGATTTAAAGAATAAACATTTTTAACATTTACAATAACATTTTCACTCAAGGTTACAGGAGATGCAATGTGATACATTTGGAGAACATTTCAGATGAATGAAATTTTAAAAGAATCTTAAGATTATTGTTATTTTCTTTGAAAATTATTATGAAATCTATCTTTATCAAGTAAAATTGTACGAGATGACAAAACTGTGGGAAAGCAGACTTGTATTTTGTCTATTTCACTCAGTATTAGCATTGTTGAGTCTTTATTAAAGATGTCCAAAATAAAATTAGAAAATGGATTTTTTACATGAGATAAACTGAAATGAAAGAAAAGGTATACATGTAAAACACTAACTTTGCACAAACGTACTATCAGTGCCCTCTACTGGAGTTAAACAGCAATGGCACCCAAATGACAACGTTAACAACAGACGGCCAAATCATTGAACGCAAAGGGGTCCAGTCCAGAATCAGTGTGTCAAATGTGCAGTGATTATTGTGTGATGACAGTCCATTTAGACAGCGATATGTCATGAACATGCACACAGACAGAACGCCCCCCCCTAAAACTCACAGCTCTCATTACAGTCAGCAGTGCTGCCAGCTGTAGCCTTCCTCAGCTTGCTGGCCTCCCTGTTATGGGGGGAGTGTGAGAGACTCCCCTGTGAACGGTGTCCCGGTTGCTGCAGTCGGACCTCATCCGGCTCCTCAGGCTTTCCGGGCTCCACCTGAAGGTAGGCCCAGACCCGGTGGTGCTGCGCCACGGGACCACTGTAGTCAATGACGCGACACTCGTACGTGCCCTCGTCTGATGCTCTGACGCTGGAGAGACGGAGTTTGTGGGAGATGTTGCTACCTGCAACTTTAACCACCTAGTGAAGACAAAGGCAACACAAACCAAAGCCCTTTTAGACGTGAAATATAGTAAAGTCATATTGTAAAGGCTCCAAACACCTCAGATCATAATGCATAATTAATGATGAATGAGAATCAGGTCACATGATATAAACTAATTATGATAAAAAAAAGGAAGCTCGTTTCAGTAATTTGTGAGGTGACAGCTGATGCTACTCACGCTAATTTTGGTGGCATCTTTGGACATCTCCCCCAGGCTTAAAACCTGCACAGAAACATTAGTTGAAGCATCCTTTTTAAAATAAATGTAAATGTTTTTTTCTTCTCTCTTACGTCTATCACTTGTGTTTAGGTTTAGGGTCACATGTATGTGTGTGCACATACTTATGTCTACATATTTAAACTTGTGTGTCTGTGTGTGTACAAGCACACTCTATCACTAATAATGCAAGTCTCTCAGTAGGAGAGAGAGTGTGTGTGTGTTATTAGATATGCAGGGGCACAGAGGTATTCTTTTGGGCATAGGTATGAATTATACATAGAGCGAAGAGAGAGTTTGAAAACCTATTTCTTTCTCAGTGCCAATTATAGTGTCTAGAGGCACAACAGGGGAGCCCGAGTTTCCCCATGATGGGAGAGATTCAATCTGTTTCCCCAGTGCTGGCAAATGCAAATCAGCAATTATACCTTCGTTTCCAAACCAGAGGGTTTCTGCCACAGCTAATATTACATTTCATTTCCACTGATATACAGTCACATTTAGATTCAGTCCTGGCAGTTGTCAGAAGTGTCCGTTCACATGGAAATGTTACGCATTAAGCCACACTGACCACGGCTTATGAATAGAAAAGAGGTGCTATGACTCCCAGTATCAAGCTGGTGTTCTGAGAATTTTTAGTTGAACAGAATCAAAGCAACATGAACTGATATTTTCAAGTTTCGTGATGTTTCAGCAAATGAGAAAAAAGGGGAAAAGGAAACCTGGCCTTCATTGAAGCTTACGCTATTAGTGATATCAGCAGGCTTCTCACGCCAGGTTCTGTGGTTCTTTATGTACCACCACTGGATCTCCAGAGAGTAGGAGGATGGGCCCGCCCCACGGAAAGAACAAGCCATCTCTACATCCTCACCACTGTGGGTTGTGATGTCATGTGGCACCTCTGTAAAGAGTGCTGCAAGAGAAAGAAAGACAGCAGGATATCAAATAGCAGCTGTAGAAAAATGACAGGCTGAAGGTGTTCCAAAAAATATTCAAGATTTGTTTCCCAGCGAGCTGTGTGACAGTTCACATGTAGCAGTGCTGCATCACTCCTCAGCAAGCAGAATAAAGGTAAAAACAGAGAGTTTGCAAGGAAAAAACAATCTGGAAAAAAGTGTCTGGATCAGCTGTATTGTTTTCATGTGCTTGCATAAAACACATCTTTATGAACCTTTAATTTCAATCAACTAATATGCTTTAATCAGGAATGGTAGTTCACAGCATAACTGATGCAATCTTTGTAAAAAAGAAAAGGGAGAATTAACCACAAATATATGAATCTGTCCTTTTTCCTTCACACCTCCTCTCTTGTAAATAAAAAAAGCTGGCTTCAACCATTCACCCTCACCATATTATACAACTAAGAAAAACAATGAAAAATGTGCTGAACAGCATGTCTTTGTAGAAGAACGTCTGCATCTCCAGAATAGAGTGAGGACAGCTGAGGAAATGACTGAGGTCACAATGCCACCTAGTAAGGACCTGGTCCTAAAACACAGCCTAGACCCCTGAGGGACTAAACACTCACAGCTGTTGCACATTCCAAATTAGTGTTGGGCAAGAGATACCGATGTCTGTTTAACAGCACTATGAAGTTTAGAAACAGCCTCAACACACAGGGAAAACTCTCTAACAGGCTGCCACAGAAGAGGCAAAAGTCTGCTCAGGCAGGGAGCAGCACAGGTGAGGGGGATCGGTCATCAGTCGGCCTCAAAAGAAGCCAGATACTGAACAAACAGAAGCTCCTTTGCTGGTAAGTGGCCACTACACAATGCCATCAACAGAGTTTAAGTTTATTTATCTCATATTTTGTGCTGAGCAGATAGTGTTCAAAAAGTTTCTAGCGATAAACAGCGATCTCTTGTGGATGAAAATAGGTTTGGTAAGTGTAATTAGAATAGAGTTTTGAAGAAAGAAGCCAGTTTATTTGATTTTTTTTAGACAAATACCAAAATTAAATGTATCTGCACTGTCGGGTAATATTTGATATTCTTATTATTTAAGATAGGCTTCCTCAGAATAACCTAGTAATCAACACAAAAAGTGAGCAAAAACCGAGGTACACCACTGTATGCACATTATATCCCATTTGTTTTATGGAACACAATGTGGAGGCTGAACAGGAAGTTTTAAAGAATAAGAAGGAGAATAAAGGTTTAGGAGGAGGAGAAGAGGATTTTGGTGCCATGTGACTGACTGGGCCCCCAAGAGTCATACCTTTGGTGCACCGCTCCTCACGACCTCATTTATCAGGAGGTGACAATATGTGGGGTGGGAGCGTTTTATGGTCCCACACAGATAGAGGAACAGGGAGGAGAGGAGCAGAAAGAAAAAGACAGACGAGGGCAGAGGTGGGCTGAGGTAAGCGGGCTGAGAAGAAAGAGCTGGGAATGATAGATGGAAAAGGAAGAGAAGTGATAGAGGAGCAATAAGGGAATGACACACACACATTCACACACACAGTCAAGTGAAAGATACAGACATTTTGGAAAGAACTTTGAAAAGCAGGATTAGAATAGATCAAAAGGAAATTGAGACATTTGACTGTACATCAAATTAAACAGTAAAACGTGTTTTCCTGCTTCTAAAGATGGCAAAAAGACTCACTCTTTTCACATTTTAAAAGCTTTATCAGCATGCTGATAATCTCTAATTATTGACTATCAGAAAAGCAAACGCTTATGTCACAGAAGAAACTATATCTAGAACACTGGCTGTGCTAATTATGGTGACCTTAAATCGTAAATCATATCCTAGCTGTGGACCTTTTTGTGTGGCGTTTGCATGTGTATACATGAGTGCTCTCTGCGTACTTTGCCATTAGCTCCCAACGTCTAAAAATACACACATTAGGTTAATTAGTATGTCTAAATAACTGTAGGAGCATGCATAGTTGTGTGTCTCGCTCAGCTGTACAGAATTAAATCAATCTTTAGATAACGAGTAAGTCTTTTTCTGCAGTCAAAACAAACAATACCAAGAACAACTGAGGAAAATCATATAACAAACAGACACATCAAGGATACCGTAAAACAAAAAATGGAATACATTCCTATTCAAGCCTTTAACTCCAAAACAGTAAGGAACAAAATAACAAGAATACTGATTCAAACTAAACACAAAAACCAAGGGAAGGAAAGCTACCCCAAATACACTAAATGGAAAAGAAATCCCACAAACCTTCGCATTGTAGAGCTCCACCAAACTAGCATTTCTATCAAAATAAAGGCTAAAAGATTCCACTGCATGTTTCATGAAGCTGCGCTTTAACAGAAAAGAATTTGCCTCTCATTTAAACACACAATATTTTTTGGAGCCTCAAGTGAATTTTTCTACATAGAAAGTTTATTTATCCATCGACATGAACTTGCAGCACTAGCAAGTCCTGCTCAACAACACTGTGCCGAGATAATACAAGTATTAACTGCAATGAAAATTGCAAATACACTGATTGATCAAATGTGATTGAACGTCAGTTTCTTTACAAATCTGTGAGCTATTGAATTACACAACCTGGCGCACAAGAGGTTTATGAATTCATTGTCCAACTGAGCAGTAAAAAAACGAAATACTGGAGAGCCTGAAAAACAAAATATTTCTACTTTCACATTTTAAGCCTTGGTCCCGATTACATGAAACATTCAAGTGTTTAGCCCTGTTCAATATCTATGCAAATGCACGAGAGACTGAAAATCTGGGTGAATTCATTGAAACACAAACATAGCTCTCTACTGCTTCATTTGCATGTCACAGCATGAATCTGAATAGAGAGGTATGACCAGGAGGAATACTTTCTGTTCTCAAAAGCCAATGCTTAAAAGTCTTCAGAGGTAGGTAAAAGCATGTGCGTTCTTATAAATGTAAAATGAATATGAGAGTATTTATTATTATTATTGCAATGCGAGATTATGACCTTAAAGTGAAAACTGTTTAGAAAAAACAAGATCTGTCATTAAAAATGCACAGGATGTCATAGAAAGCCTGTACAGTCTAAAAAGGAGTGAAACTGTCATGCAAATTAAATCCATGTTGCATGACTGGTTTATGAGTCCAGCACGTTTTGTGCATTTAACAGAGGCTGTGGAACTTGGCAGCCAGTGAGCCATGAAGAGCACATTGTAATGTAACAACATAAAACAAGAGCCATTTAAATGCAAACCACAGTATTTTCTAACTATAATACGATTAGATCGATATTACACCAAATCACAACAAATCACCTGAAGGCACTTCAAAGATTGAGTCCAATTCCAGCCAATTACGATCTACCTCACAACAGACTGAATCTAATCAATCAAACTCCAAATTACTCCAATTCACATGGGAAAAAAAGCTGTCTTGGGAAGAAAACCAAAAAATTGCATCCTAACTTCTCTTCAGTCCAGTCCTCCATTCTGACTATGCATAAGGTGCTCTTGTAATATAACTATGAGCATCTTGAGTTAATTTGAGAAAAATAGTTAATTTTTCCCTATTTATCTAACATTGAAACGAATTAGTTTTGTTTGTTGCAAACACTTTCAGTTATCATGTTCCTTTTATCATTGCTGAGGGGTCCATTTGATTACTGTTACGTATAGTTACATAGAGGAAGTGCTGATTAGGCACTACCAAAAAAAGTTGCATCATGGGGGAATCCACTGAATTTACTTAGTTAAAGGTTTTATTTCTTAAGTATTTTCTTAAGTCTATGACTTCAAGTTCAGGGAAAAGCATGCAGTTGGGTATTAGAAGTTCAGTGCCTCGAGGTGGACTTTGTTGCCATTAAATCACACAAGAGGAAGTGGCAGAACTGTGGAGAGTTAGGTGGACATTGTAAGTATGATGGGACATGTCTGTTCATTTCTTCCAATTCATGAATATCAAAAATGATTTTGGTTTTTTGGTTTTGTGAAAAAATAAAATAAAATGCACAGAAAAGTACCACATACCAGCGAGCAAACCAGATGGTCACAAAGAGCTGAGATGTTGTATGTTTGTTGAAAATCTTAATTTAATGCTCACTGTTTTGAAAATATCAAGAAATACATGTTTATAACTTTGAATTGATGACATTTTACCAGTAAATTGAAGCCTACAAAAGTTTTTAGCGTTTCATATTTTTGAGGTTGTGCTTATCTTTGTTCCATATCAGATACATATTATAAGAATATATAATTTATATTTAAATGCTGTCTGCACAGAATTAACAAACCAATGAAGCCTTTTAAAATATCCCACACAAATACTTTTTTTGACTGAACAGTATAAGCAGTGGTACTGAATGAGAATTACTCGTGCAAAATTTGAAACCACAGCGTGTGAAATCAAAGTTAAGTGAAGAAGAGAGCTACAGGGCGTCCTCCATCCTCTCAGCAGTCCACATGCTCTCGTGGAAAGGCTTACGGCTGCAAGGTAATTCCTTCTCATTTCCCCTGTCAGCCAGCAAGTCACTGATTCTGCGTCACAAATTCCCAAATTTCCATCTTCTTTGGGTTTCTTAAATCCCTTTTTAGCAGTTTCTCTCTGCCGCTGTCCCTCTACAGTTAGCTGACATTTAAAATATTTTTCTCCAGTTGAAAATGCATTTTTAATTCTCAGTTTTGTTTATAATCTTACTTTCTACCCGTTAGTTGACCCTTGTGGGGTTTTTTTTCAACTAATTTCTCAATCCCTTTTTTTTTCCCCCCTTCTCTGACTCTCACTAAGTGGCCAGTCTGGGTCCTGGCATGGAGACATCCTCCAATGTTCCCCGAGTAGCTACTTTCATCTCCTGGATCCATGCCCACTGGCTCTGGCACATGTTCATCATCAAGGTAGAGTCACTCTGTATGCTACTCTCACTGGGTGTGCAATGTGATTTTATTCTGACACAGATCATCCCAACGCCTCTATGAATTTCTGTTGCACATTCAGCATGGGCAACATCCTGTGAGCTGGGTGGGAAAACACTAATTCAATGCATGAAGCATACATTAAAGTCGCTCATTTGTAATTGATAGGCAAACAGTGTGTCTGCCAGCGTTTGAACTAAGAATAAACCTAGAAACACTGAAAAAAGACACGCAAAGATTATTTGATGATATCATATAATCCTTGTCCAAATGACTTTTGGTTTGCTTTTGCTTTTGGTGTTTCAAACATGAACTGTTGACAAACAGACAAACTGCTGGTGTGTGCCGTGTGCATCTCAGGGCTTACGTGCAAAGTGCCTGTTTAGCAGGCATCCAACTGTTTCCCAACTTTAATCACATCAACGTTTCCAGAAATCTATCCTGTAACCTTGGCAGAATGCTAAATCAACACGAAAGCTGACTCTGCAGGCAAAGTTTCTGAACTTTGGCTGAAAAAAAGAAAACATGTAGTTCTGAAGAAAATATTGACTTCTAGGGAAGTCTTAGGAACACTGGATTCTCTCATTAAAATGCTATAGACCCAGCAGAGAATGAGTTTGCTTGGCTTGGCCTTGTCTAAGTGTACATTTATATAGAGGCAGTACTGTCAGAGCCATATTACAGCAGGGAACAGAATGATTCTTTGAAGCTACATGTACAGTACATGC